AAGGAAGGACAGCAGAAATGAACGGGAGGTTTTCGAGTAAAAAAAAAACGGGGAGGAGGAGAATGATTACTCCCCCATCCTTAAAACAGATGGGCGCCGGCGGCAGTCACAAACCCAATCGAAAATGATCCACGCTTGGCGCTATGGCGGCGGGTCGTAAGCTGCACGCCGTCAGGGGGAACCAGACTCCCGGGGCGGTCGCCGGCCGACTATGGCTCGCCAAAGGGATGCTCATGCACGCGGCTTCAAAGCGGCTGCAAATCATCTGCGAATCGCACCAGCTTCATTTTCCTACGGCTCTCGGAACAGAGAAGCCTTTCCCGTTGTCGCGGGCAGGTCTCGCCTTCGCACCGGTTGTGCGTCGGGAGGCGGCGAATCGGGTGAAAGCCCGGGGAAAGACCATCTGCCTGCCTTGACACATTCGCCAATTTGGTCCAGCGGGACCGCCGGGTGGAGCCGAGGCAGGCAGGAGGGGCAGTGCAGTAGTTCTCTCTCCCTCTCTCTCTAAATCCGTCTCAGCCGACCAGCCGACCGGCTCCCTCTCTCCCCCTCCCCCCTGCTGCTCGCACCCTCTCTCGTCCTCAACACGACTCACTCACCTCAGAGAGGGCCATGCATGTAGTGTGACTTGCTCGCGGGGGCCGGCCCGGCTCGGTTCAGGTTTTCGCCCGGACAAAATATCTTTTGGCCGCAGCTCATTACCGGGCGTTAATTGCCGCGTGTACGCCGACCTTTGCCGACACGCTCGTTAACCCGCGGCCCAGCTTACGCCTTGTGGGTATTGCTATGCAAATGTAGAGTCCTAAAGTACGCGACATTCCGATAGACGCATATTGGTAAAATAATTTGCGTCGTAACTTCTCAGGAGCGTCTTGGTATTTCATCTTTCCGTGGTCGGATTACACTAGTACTACTGCGCGGCGCACATCACCCAAACGCAGTCATTCCGAAATCATCGCACGGATGATACATTTTTGTTTTTGCAGGCAGCGGGCAGCAAACTAGGGCTGTATTAACTCTAACAACAGGTTGTTGTTATGTGCAGATATGTGATCCCACTCCCGGCGAAAGTCAAAAAGCAGATGACGTTTCGGACCTTGGCGCCGGTCTAGGGTGCTGCTGCCTGGACCAGTGCCTGCTGGTGCGGGAGGCGGGCTCGATACGCCTTATCCGGCGGCCGCCGGGCCGAAGGACGGGAGAGGAACATTATCTGCGGATGGAAAGGAGAGTCTGCGCGAGGAGAGCCGCAGGCCGATGGGAGAGGCGAGGGCCGCCTGGCCTCGGCAGAGCCTACCGGCGGAGCGGCGGGCAGGCAACAGTAAATATTTTAAAGCAGATCAAGGTGTCGGTGGACTGCTCCGCGTGCTCCGCGACGTGTGCAGCGGACACTGTTGTAACATAATGGAATAGACGGCACGCCGCGGACGCGCAGCGCCGTGGAGGTCGCCGGGAGTGAACTTTTGATGAACACGCCGCTTCGGCCAGCAGCTGCTGCGGCCGCGGTGCATGATATTGCCGCCAGATGAAGGCATTTTGCCGCATCTCGCGCCGCACATTTGCATCTGAATGGTTCGAGACAGAGTCTTATTTTGAGCAAACGTTGGTGCAAAAGCTATGTGGCCGCCTCTGGAAAGGGCGCAAAATACCACGTTATTCTGCTTGAACAGGCCGGCCTGCAAAGTTCCGTGGATCGGAAATAAAGCTATTCAGTCGTAAATGATGATTGCCATGTTAGTGCCCCTGCCCTTAAAACGCCCTAGTAACGCTAAACTGTGTCGAGCGATTATGTCGAGAAAATATCGATAAAAAGACTATCACAAAACTATAATCAAAATTCTAAATTCTATTATAATTTGGAGACTCGAAACCTTCTCATGAAATTATCTTTTAAAAACCTATATCAATACCGGAAAATCGTCATCTTTTTTTTGCGTAACTTCTAGTTTGGTAAATTCTTCACGACATTTTTTGCCTCATATTTTGGAACTCTCTATTTTTTTTTCCGGACACTGACATTTGACGTGAACAGGCATGATCTCTAGTTTTGAATATCGACTGCAACCATCATCAGAGTTAAAGAAAGCATAGATTCACAACGTATCGGAATCTAGTTTTGACACCCTGTCGACTGTCGGTCAACCACTTCATCATATGCGGCATAGTGAAGTGAAAGAAAGTTTTATTACCTTTGGCGAATAATTTATCCGGCTTCAGAGAAGGTATCGGAAAGGATTGTTATTAATGACACCATAGTATTAGTTCTTTATCATTTTACTGTACCACTCGAGAGACATTTCGGACAGAACCCTTCGACCGGAACAGAATACATGTGCTGTTACGCGAGAAACTTTTAGTATTTACAAATCAGTCCGCGCTAGAGATCACGTTGTCATTACACACACAGTAAACTGTGTTCCCAACTCCCAAATTCTCAACAAAATTAAGCTTGGTCCAAGAATTGGCTGTGCTGCCATATTATCTATGGAAATAAGCGTAATGATTTTGAAAATGTGGAAATCGAGAATAAAGTTATGCTTATGTATTGCCTTTGTTACTCCATTTAGCCTATCACAGTTTTCAATGTCGTGCTTTATTTTTTTCTCTCTCGGCCTGTTTCAGGGAAGCGAACATGATCCCTCTGGGTCTCCGTCGCCACGTCGGAGTAAGGTTCTCACACATTGTACACCTCCTCGACCGAACACATGTGGTTGAGCTAAAGAAGGCCGTATCCGAGGTGGCGACACAGACGTTGGTCGAATGACGTCTACTTCGTGTCCAGGACAGCTTGCTAAGACGGGAAGCGGGCGGCGTTCGTTCGCGTGGCAGTTGAGTTAGCCGGCCGCAGGAGGCCTGGTGCGATGACGGTGTGCTGACGGGGGTTGCATTCAGCCGAAGCGCCTGCCGGCTGCGGGCGGCTGGCCCTCCTGGGGCTCAGGGTTCTGCCTGTTGAACTCGATGGACTTGAGGATGGCCTCGGGGATGGGCGGCGGCGTGGGCAGGTGCGCCCCCTGCGGCTGGAAGCCGTTCTCGTCGGCCAGGTACTGCAGCTGGATGGGGGTGCCGTCGTCTGCCGTGTACGAGAACTGGCCCTGCACCGAGAGCGACTCGGGCCCCACCTGCTGTCCGCGGGCGTCCGCACGGATGCCGTTGCTCGTCTCGTACCTGAGGCGAAAGAAATGCGAAGCATTTCAACAACTCCGACTGCCAAAGTTACCTGATCAAGTTTGTGAGCAACCGACTGACGTGTAGGTGAAGGAGCCGTCCGGACTGATGTCCGAGTCCAGGCGTGAGATGACGGCCTGCTGGTCCTGGGGCCTCTGCGGCGCCCCCAACACCGCCGCCGCGCACAGGGCTACCGCTGCGACCTGCCAAACAGAGTTCGTCATCATCCTCTACGACCACCACTTTTGTCTTTGGCCACCTCCCGTCCTGGATGCTGTGCCGTAGTTGCCATTAAGGCCTCCTATCAGACAAAACGATGCTATCGGGGGCGCGCAGACTCAGAAGGCGGCACCGCGACTTTCCCCGTCAGCTCCTCTCCTCCTTGCTTCCGTGAGAAGAAAT